TATTAGATTGGATTTATTCGGTGTAAACACCAAGGATAAGCCCACGAAAGTTTAGAAGAAGACCTATTTCCAGTGGAATCCTTCTGATGATGGTTGGGTAGTACACCGGCAGACAATCCTCTACTCTTTTCTGAAGAGTGTGCTGCGTTCTTTAACGTGCACATGGGCCATCATTGCACACGGGACCAACGACTTAATCGTCTCATGCGAAATATGTTTCAAATTATTATTTCTTTGATAGTGACTAAAAAAACTCGTTTTTGAAAAATTGTCAGTTACTTCTTTTGTCATGGTGGGGCAGTATTGTATCTTGTATTTCAGCCCTAAAGCTGAAACACATGGAGAGGCAGCAATGGGAATTGAACCGGGGACCTAGAGATCTCCATGGTTTAGCGCACACGCGCACACACTGTGGCTACCACTAGATTAGCTGACTGAGCTAAGCTTCTCTCTACATATATATATATATATATTATATATATGTAAATGATGATAAATTATATATATATGTATATAAATTATATATATTATATATATATATATATGTATATAAATTTTTAAAAAACAAATTTACACAAAAAAAAAAAACACTATCACAAAAAAAGCAATCTATGATAAATTCGCTTTCCACGACGAGTTATGATTTTCAACTTAGGAAGACTCAATTTAATTGCTGAATTCACCATGAAAAGTTAATTTTGCCATATACAATTGGATGTTAAAGATCAACTGTTTCGTGTACAAGCATTTGTAGGTTGTCTATGGCGATTCCTCTTCGGCAGCTTAAAGAATATCTTCATCTTACTCGTCAACAGTTTAGTAGACTACAGTGTACTACTGTGTCTTGGCACTTCTCTAATAGCTTTATATTTTTGCTCAGATACACTGATGGTTTAGATAACTCACTGTCGTTCCTAGCTATTCTCATGTTTTTCTCAACCTCTGACACTGACTATTTGAAATTTCTTTTGAATATATTATTTTTGTTGTTTCTAATTCTTGTGTCTTTTCTTGTTTTCTTTGAATGTGAAGGTGTGTATTTAATAAGTGTTATTATCTTTTCTTCATATTCTACATGGTACAGCACAAAATTTAAATATTTCACTCCATGCACTTTTTGTCCAATTGTTCAGAATGATCACATTCTTAAATATCTATCTCGCTTAGGAATACAACAATCAGCATTCTTACCGCCTCCTTGTAAAACTGAACGGTTCAAATTTCTTCCATACTCTCTAAATGTCTATCCGTCTTCTGACAACAAGTCCTCAATTTGTACTAGTCTGCTACATTGATCTATTGTTTAATTTTTTTAATAATTTTTGTGGCCATTACAAATATATATTGATGAATATAAAAATGTAAAATGTTTCTTGTATGGCAGATAATAGTCGACTGATGGCTTTTGAAGCAAATAAAAATTTAATTGAAAGATTGGACATTAGAATTAGAAGATAAAAATGCTACCATGGGAATATGCAAGTATCAGTTGAAAGCTTTTTAGCATAACCTAATTCTGCTTTGTCCAACAGTGTTTGATTCTCAGGTCTGTATTCAAGTGTTCCTGTAACTATCTGATTTTCTAGTGTACAGAAAAACAAATGATTATTAAACGTATCCTTCGTTTCTAAGTTGGCCTTGTGCACAGACTGGTAGATATTGGCGAACAGGTGTATCAGACACGTTCGCAGTGATCATTTCTTTAAAATTTCCATTGTATTTTGGTGGTTCATGCACACCAAAAGACACTATGATATCTTTAAAATTTGTTTTCTACTTTCTGAACCAGGTCAAATGTTATATGCTCTCCATACTCAAACTCCTGTCAGGAGCGGATTTAGCGGGAGTGGAGCCGGCCCCCTTTTAAGAGGTAAAAGAAAGAAAAAAAAAGATAAAGAAAAAGAAAAACTTATAGCCCAGACATCTCAAATGGTATTTCTGGGCGTCTAGAACAAATAATTTCGCGGGGGCATGCCCCCGGACTCTTTAGGACAGTGTTGTCTCGATCAGCCCAACTTTCGCACCCCCTCCCCCTTTTTGAGAAGGTTGGAACAACCTTTTACTGTCTATCTGATTCTAAAGCATGTTTCATTTTTAAAACCATCTTATTCAATGATATGAACTTCGTTTGCATAAATTTGCACATTTACCCTCGTCTTTTCAGCAATTTCTTTTGTTGCAAATAGTGTCGTACAGTTGTAGCAGCCAGCATTGTTGTGTCCTAAATATACAGATGTAAGCTTAGGAAGCACACTCTTTAGCCATGAAACTACATCTTTCATTATCGCTGCTGTGGGCTAGTGTTTGGAACACCGCAATGCAACAAAAATGTGCTAAGATATTTAATGTTTAAAAAATCTGCTCGAGATTCTCTGAATGCTGTAATCGGACCACCATCTGGGACATAGGGCTTCTTGTCGGGCGAATCCTGGCACCACACATACCATTAGGTTTAGGTTTATATTTTTTTACGATAATTCCTGACTTGTCCCAACAAGAAGGGGTAGAGGTGTTGCATGATGTGGTTAGGGAAAAGAGGGTGTATTCAGTGACTGGCATTCCCAGGCAGGTTAAGGTGCTGTGTCCAACTGGTGACACCACTGACAGAAATTGGTATGTATAAAGTGAAATTATTATAAACTCACCTTAAAAGGGTTTAAAATACCACTAAAACAGAAACATTGTTTTTTGTTTTTTTTATCACAACATTACTTAAAGTATAGAAAAATATTTATTATTGTTGTAATCAAAGGAATCTATGAGTAAATCTGCGGAAAAAACTGGTAAATTTTACTATTATAATTTTTTTTAAATGAAAAATGCCTGTTTTTCTGGCAATGCTTCTCGTACGTTTTTTAATTACCCACATTTTTTAAACTGGATTTCTCTAAGGGAGCATTAGAACTACCTATTTGTAGAAAATCAGTTCTAAAAAAGCACCACTTTGAGGTTTATGAGCAATTAAAGTTTGGAAGTTTTTCATAATTTCAAAAAAAAGAAAAACACCCCTTTTTAAAAACATGGTATCTCCCAACTACAAAATCCAAAAAACATCTACAAATATGGAACAGATACCCAATGTACTTACCTTATACACACACTCATTATTTTTGATAAATAAACCATAAGTCTATTAGAAATATTGTATCAAATTATTACTAATATTAACATTTAAAAACAGCAAAAAATTGCCAAAAACCTTTTGACTAGCGAGCTCGACCCATCTCATCTACTGTGTAGGTCATAGTAATTATATTATGTACTGTATGTTCAAAGTATCAAATAATAAACATCTGCAGGGGCAGATCCAGCCTGTGATGGGGGCATGTAAGTATAAGTAAGCGAGAATAATTGCGGCATCGTCTCTGTTGGGATTGCAAGGATCTTTCTTGAAGCGCTTGCACCTTTGTTAATAGGGAGCTTTTGATGCTAGAAGATTCATCCATGGGTGCACTAAGTAGGTTTAGCCAGATTGAGTCCTAGAATCCATGCGACCTCAAGAACTCGCATGTGCAGATGACTTTATGTGAATTCAGAAGCTCCTTGGTATTTCCCTGGTCACTGGATTGGCAGACCAGCACATTTTTGTGGAACTTTCTCTGCTCCCTGGGGAGTATCCCAAGTCATGCTGCTTTAAGCGCACAACGTTATACTTTCAATGCCACACTATCCTACCAGGTACCCATTTATACTCCTGGGTGGAGAGAGGCAAACGTAAATAAAGTGCTTTGCACAAGGACACAAGCAATGCGACGGGCGTCGGTCTCGAACTCCTCATCTGAGGTCCAACACCTTACACGCCACGCCACACGCTCCGTAATTTGAGGTAAGTTACTTTCGCCATTAAGCATGGTAATACTCCTATGAGATTTACATTTTTTTACAAAGAAATAGAAAAGTGCATGCAAAATTTACGTCCCCACACGCACCCCACCCCCAAAAAAAATCACCACTGAATTTATATCACCATCATAAGTGTATATTAAAATGAATACAGGTAAATACTAATAAAAAAAATGCCAATCACAGCAATTTAGTGATTGTAATTTCTTCATATAAAACACTGGTTATCTTGACATGCTCCTGAGCCAATAACAAGAATGAAATTACTTTTGTATGTACATTTAGTTAAAAACAAAAGGACAGATAATTTTCTTATGCAAAACAGATAATAACTACAAACCGATTGGGCGTGCAGGACTTTGGTCACTTCCGCAAAGGCTGCAATCCGGGCAAGTAGATTCATGATATTCTAGAATTAAATGAATTAAACAACTAATTTCATTTTTTGCATTTAAATAAAGTCGTTTACTAAATTAAATATGATGTTACGTAATATAAATAAATATAAATACTTAAATAATATTTAACATATTGCATGTATACAGAAACATATGCATATAGTTTGTTTTCTTTATTTGGAAATACAAAAATAAATGTTGTGCTGTAAATGTTCCTTGTAATAAAAGTGTATGTGTTAATAAATTATTGTGTAAAGGGTCTGTAAATCAGTGAAATCATTAGTTTTATTAGTGTTTCATCAATTAAATCTAAATTAATCCTCACTAATAATGTTCATTAATATTATATATTTTTCAATTGAATGTAATGCAGTGGCGGCCGTAGGGTAAGTTTCAGGGTATGCTAGGTATTGGCATATGATGTCAGAGAGGCACGCACCACCCCCCCCCCCCAAAAAAAAAGAAAATACTCGCCCATCCCCAGTCGAGCCCCTGCCCACAAATCATGCTCAAAGTACTTAAAAATCACCTCAAATTATCTCATTTTGCGAGTTGTCCCCTTCACCTATTTATCAATCCCCAACTTTACCTTTCCACCCCCATCAGCTTCTTTCCATTTCAATAACCCTACGTCACTGATGCTAGGGCCTGCTAGTAGGAAAAGTTTGTAAGCCTACTACTAGTATAGAGAATCAATTTTTTTTCTAGTCGAAATACAAAAGTACGTTATTTTTAATACTGGCATGGTTGAAGTATCTTCTCTTGAAAAGAATTTTTATTCTTGTATTTTAACAAATTTCAATTCAAATAAAGATAATTTAAAGTTTCTTCTATACCGGTCATATTTATGCAAATGTATTTAAACTTTAACCATTGAAATTAGGTATATAGATAAAATACCCGATCGGCAGTGGAGGTCCCGATTTGTGAGGAGAAGAGCATGCGCACATACTCTTGCTTCCATTCCAGTGTTAAGTTGGCTATTTTGACGCCACCACACGGTTGTCCACATAAGCAAATTTAAGCGTTTTAGGGTATGTTCTGACTGCCATTGACTCACTGAATACGCAATTGGCTGATTGAAAACTAGCCATGCGGAAATTCTAAGCAGCTGAGAGTACGATGCGATAGGCCAGACTGTGACTTATCCTAGATACCAAAGTAGGTAAAACATTGAAAAACTTTGCTATTCCAATTAAATGTAGCAATCCAGTTGAAAAATTAAGGTTTATATAGAAGATTGTGGCTTCGAAATGCTAAATAAAACAGAGAAACTTTACCATATACTGTATTGTTTTTCTTTAATTTGCTTTAGCTAGCAGGGTATGCAATGCATACCTTGCTTGCCTTGACGGTCCGCCACTGATGCAATGTTTAAGCTCCAGTTGTCACACATTGAAATTTGTTCGGATTTCTTTAGTGATTCATTCAATGATATACTTGAAGTATTTTAATAAATATGTTTAAGTTTAAAAACTTTGCCAGTCTCTTTATATTAAATTTAACTATAGAAAAGAAAAAAGAATAGTAAGTGTACAACAGCTAGCCTATTATTTTTGTCAGTCTCTTATTTTTAACTAAATTTAACTATAGAAAATAAAAAAGAATAGTAAGTGGACAACAACTATTATTTCTACTGACACAGCAAGTCTGGTTACATTATACCTTTCAAGAATGAATTTAACTAGAAAAGGAAATAAGAATAGTAAGTGGACAACAACTAGCCTATTATTTTTGTTAGTTTCTTTATTTTTAACTAAATTTAACTATAACAGAAAAGAAAAAAAAATAGTAAGTGGACAACAATTATTATTTCTACTGACACAGCAAGTCTGGTTAGATTATACCTTTCAGGAAGCTCTCCTGGTATTTAGTCACATCCATCCGTTTGGATTGGGTACAAGGAACTTTCGGTTTTTGGCAATCTTCAAATGGATGCAAATGTGGTTTGTCACTATTACATTGATCACATGCGATAGCAAATTGGTAGTTCAGACCTTTCGCCCATATTGTACAGATGTCACCAAAACAATCTTTTAGTAACTGGTAAACCTGTAGGATTTTCAAAAGTATAAAATGATATATCTATATTATATTTATATATAAGCCATAAAACACAATTGTGTTGACTGGCCAAGAAACATTGGACCATCGCTCAAGCCCATCGATGGACTGTCCTAATCTCTTAAATGATGCTAGTGTTATCGATATTGGTTTGAGTGATCATTTGTTGCTTTATACTTTTAGGCTATTCACCGATACTTTTTATATTGGGCCTTCAAAACGCATCTAAATTCATATACTTTGGGGCCGTTATGTAGAATCTCTATTGTATGATTTTAAAAATGCTCATTAGCCTGATTTTGCAAACATTCAGGACATTGCTGAGACCTAGACTTTCTGGAAATCATTCTTTAAAAATGTTCTTAACAAGCATTACATAAATAAATAAAACATTCCGCTCGAAGTATCATAGCCTCCCTTGGATAGGCTCTGAAATTAGAAGTTTATAATGAGTTATCTCAAGAGGTTTTCCTGTGTACAGCCTTGAAATTACAGCTTCTGCCATTTCACAGTCTATTTCATTAATTTTTAATTATTGCGCTGAACATGAGTTTTATCTTCAGAATGGAAAGCTGCTGCTGTTGTGCTCACTCATTAGGAGGCCCCCGCTTTGAGTTAGGTAACCATTGCCCTATTTCAATTATGCCTGTCATCGCAAAAGTGCATGAACACGTTATTTATGAGCAAACTCTTGATTTACTCAACAAGCACTCAATCCTTCCTAGGTGTCAATCTGGATTCCGCCTTGAAAGTTCTGCCCAGGATCTTTTGGTCAAATTTGTTGATGAAGCTAAATTTGCTATTGATAACAATGAAATAATGAGCCGACAGTTTGTGAAAAACTTTTCAGTTTCGTTAAATAATTACACTTTAGAAAACAAATCATCTGCTAAGGTCCTGGGTGTTATTCTTGAAGATAAACTTAAATTCCAAGACCATGTGTATGCAGGCTTTGGCCTTAGGAGGTAACTATCCTACCCCGGGATACATGTTTCGGGTATGCAGGCTTCGGCCTTACAATGTAACGTTCCTACCGCGGGATGCATAGTTTGGAGTATGCAGGCTTTGGCCTTAAGATGTAACTTCCTACCCCGGGACACATAGTCTGGGGTATGTGGGCTGCGAGCAGCCTTAGGATTTAACCTCCCTTCCTCGCAAAGCATATTTTGGTGTATGTAGGTACTTGAACGAGTCTACCCCAGGTTGCACATTTCGAATGAAAATGGCAGTGTTGTCAAAGAAAGTTGATGATGTTGTTTTGTCTTTAGTTGAATGTTTCGGGAGTCACATTTTCTTCTACTGATTGTGGGGTTCCCCAGTTAATGCTTTTGCCTTTGTTTTAATAAGTAAATTTTGCAAATGTATTCGTGTACTTTGGAGCTATATGTGTTTTTCCACTTTTTCTTGGTAATAGTTTTAATCTTGCTTTGTTATTCTATGGATATATAATTTTAAAATAAAGGATGAAATTTTTTTTAATGAAATTATGTTGTTGCCAAAACTGTTCTTAGGTGTGTTTCTCAACTGGGTTTCCTTTCATCTGACATCAAAAGTATTTTACTTAATAGCTTAGTGCATCGTTATATTGAATTCTGTTGCGATATTTGGTCTCAAACATTTCATTATACTCTTCATATTATTCATATGCTTTTTAAAAAATGTTTGCGTTCTAACTACAATCTTGACCACAGGTCTAACTACAATCTTGACCACAGGTTATCTATCCGTGGGCCTCTCGGGGACCTTAACTGGCTGAGCCTTTTCTCCTGTTGGCAATACATGCTACTCATTTTGTTTTCAGATGCGTTGTTGGACTTGCTCCACTGACAGTACATGGCAAAATTTGCCTGCGGTAAAAAGGGTCCTTGTGGGTTGGCAGAGGGGAGTGTAATTTATATCCGTATAAACATGCTACGTCAATAGAAGGGTCTACGGTTGGATGCTTAGGGACCAAAATTCGGAACACTCTACTACGTCATTAAATCAGAAAAATATTTACTTTTAAAGAACATGTTAAGGTCTTCTTATTTTCCAAAGCTTGAATCGTTGACTTTTTGGTTTATTTTCTTTCTGTTTTCTTGAAAGAATTGAAAATTTTTTGTCTATTTTACTATACATTTTTATACATTCAACAACTAAATAACCCTAAATGTTATTTTCCTATTCCAAACTTATGCACTACATTTTTTATCACTTTCTTGGTTTGTGTATAAAAGTTTGAAACAACTTTAAAACACAGGACAGGCATTCGCCCAATCATCGTTTTGTGGTACATGACATTCATAGAACAAGGTAACTTAAAACCCAAGAAAGTAAATTCAAATTCAATATTACAAGTAAGTATGAACAATTTAGGAATTCCTTAAATCAATGGATACTAATTAACTAAAGAAGCCGAAAAGTGAATAGTAATATTTATGTTTTATTTGAAGGAAGGAATTTAGATGTATTTAAGGCTTTTTTCAAGACTCAATGAATGAATTTATATGTAGGCCTCCTGTGTATTAGCATAAGGCTTTGTGTTGTATCAACTATTTAACACAATTCGATCTCAATCAAGCCCAAGATTCTACTCCATCGTAAATAAGGTTTTAATACCACTTGAAGAACTAGCACAGATATTAACACACAAAAAATATGCTGATTACAATTTTCATCAAATAAATTAAGTTTATTAATGTTTTACTCTTAGAACCTAACACACTTACTTTGATTGGTCATTAATTAAACTAAAACATATTAGGTAAACTTACCTTTCTACAAATCCTTTTACAAGGATCCTGTGCTTTTCCATCAACCCTCAGAATCATAACCTGAAGGGGAGCAAACAGTTAAATAGTTCAGATCAACACCTCAAAAGACAATGAATATAGTAAAAAGTAATTATCATTAAAGGATAACCGCTAAAATACACAACACATAATATGTTACAGTATATTAATTTTAAATAATATGTTGTTTAAAAACAAGTATTCACCTCAACCGTAGACTTGTTAAGTGGACTTAACTGCAGGATCATGTCGTGAGCATGATCTACATAGAACTCTCCACGCTTGCGATATAGTGGGAGATCACGACCTCCTTGATCCTGAGACCAAGCAATAATCCTAACGAGTGCCTTATGAAAGAGTCCGCTGGGAAGGAACCCTTGGAAGTCGATGTAGAAACGTATCATAGGAAACCTTTTTTCCACAAGCTTAGGAGATTCACACTCGAAGTCTTTGAAGAGACAGGGTACGAGGAATAGCCTTCCAGCTTCGGATGATTCAGATCCTACATCCTAAATATTCATATCAAAAATAAAAATACCAAACTTTACTTAAGGAATTATTATTTTTATTATTATTGAAGGTATGATTTTTAATTTCAATCAATCGTCAATTTTCAATTGTCAATCTTCATCATCTATTCATGCCACCCATTCTCACTCATCCACCATCTACTAATCAGCCATTCATCCTCAATCATCCATCATTTATTAATCAGCCATTCATTCTCATTCATCCATTCTCAATCTTTGATCATCTGTTAATCATCCATTTTCAATCATTCATCATCTATTAATCAGCCATCCATCCTCAATCATCCATTCTATTAATCAGTTGTCCATTCTCAATCGTCCATCCTCAATCTTCAGTCATCTGTTAATCAGCCATCCATTCTGAATCATCCATCATCTATTAATCGGTTATCCATTCCAAATCAACCATTCTCAATCTTCAGTCATCTGTTCAGCCATCTACTCTCAACCTTCCATCATCTATTAATCAGTTATCTATTCTCAATCATCCATTCTCAATCTTCAATCATCTGTTAATCAGCCATCCATCCTTATGCATTATATTTTTTTATTACTTTATTGGTTTGTGTGTAAATGTTCGAAACAACTTAAAAACACAGGACAGACACTCGCTCAATCAAATCGTTTTGTGGTACATGACATTCATAGAACAACTTAAAACACAAGAAAGTCAATTCAAATTCAATATTACAAGTAATTATGAAGAATTTAAGAATTCCTTGAATCAATGGACACTAAAAATTAATGGACACGAAAATTAAATAGGAATATTTAAGGCTTATTTTAAGGAATGAATTTAGATGTATTTAATTTATATATAGGCTAATAAGACTCAAGGAATGAATTTATATGTAGGCCTCCTGTGTATTAGCATGAGGCTTTGTGTACCATTGTATCACCTATTCAACGCATTTCGATCTCAATCAAGCCATCCATTCTCACTCATCCATTATCTACTAAAAAGCCATCCATCCTCAATCATTCATCATCTATTAATCAGTATCCATTCTCAATCATCCATCCTCAATCTTTAATCATCTGTTAATCAGCCATCCATCCTCAATCATTCATCATCTATTAATCAGTATCCATTCTCAATCATCCATCCTCAATCTTTAATCATCTGTTAATCAGCCATCCATCCTCCAATCTTCAATCACCTATTAATCAGTTATCCATTCTCATCATCCATCCTCAAACTTTAATCATCTGTTAATAAGCCATCCATCCTCAATATTCCATCATCTATTAATCAGTATCCATTCTCAATCATCCATCCTCAATCTTCAACCATCTGTTAATCAGCCATCCATCCTCAATCTTTCACTATCTATTAATCAGTTATCCATTTTCAATTATTCATTCTCAATCCTCAATCATCAGTTAACCACCAATCCATCCTCAATCATCTATCATCTCTTAATCAGACATCTATTCTCAATCATCCATCCCCAATCTTGAATCATCTGTTAATCATCCATTTTCAGTTATTCATCCTCAACCGTTAATCCTCAATCTTCAATAAACTATTAATCAGCCATCCATTCTCAACCATCTATCATCTATTAATCAGCCATCCATTCTCAATTATCCATCATCTATTAATCAGTATCCATTCTCAATCATCCATTATCTATCAATCAGTTACTCATTCTCAATCATCCATCCTCAATCATCCATTAATCAGCCATCCATACTCTAGTTGTTCAACATGCATGCAAATTCAAACTGCGGTGAGCGTACAGTTCATAACAGAGCAGCTCATCCTTGAAACAATCTTTCTCACAACATTTGTAACAATTTTGAGTCTCTTTCTATTAGTATGTTTAAAAAAGAGGCCTTTATCTCTATTTAGTAAGACTGTACCTTTTTTATTTTGGTTTGGTAGTTTTCATTTGTCTGCTTTCTTTTCAGTTTTAGGGTATCTTGTTGTTTTTAATTTACTTTTACTTACTTTTGAATTTCATGATTGTAAACATTTTTTGGATATATTCACTGTATGTACCAGGGCTTCCTTGAAAAGCAGTGCTAGTCACTGAATGGATACTCCCTGGTTAAAGAAAGCTTAAAAATAAATAAATAAATATCCTTCATACCGTACTCGCGCGAAAAAGTGCCCCGTTTGAATAAGCGCCCCTTCTAATTTGATTAGGCGCCCCCTCATAAGATTTTCTTTTTAGCAAGTCAATAATCCAATCAATCTTGGGACTGTGGTTGTTGGCATGATTTGAGCTGTAGAGTGGAAACACATTATTCTTCAGTCAATATCAAAATAAGGATATTTCTCTTGAACAAATTGGAGCTCCGATCCCTGGACAGATGAGAGGTCCAATCCCTGGACAGACAGAATATTTCCTGCCATCCTGCTAATCTCAATCGGCCGATGGCCAACAAGCTAACCACTACCCACCACTAACTGCATCTGCTATTTTGCTGTAAATATTCACGCATTCTTGTTATGAGCCATGTTCTCTGGACGATTATCTTTTCTAACCACCATCGTAATGTCCTTATAGGCCTAATCTTTTTTTTCATTCAAAAAGTGCCTCTTGAATTTCTAATTATTAAAATAATTTCCCATAAGAACCCATCGATTTTCATCTATTTTCCATAAGCGCCCCCTCAATTTCCACTCTGTTTTCATAAGCGCCCGTTTAAATAAGCGCCCCTAGAAAGTACAAAAAAAATATTTTAAGCGCCCGGGCGCTTATTCGCGCGAGTACGGTACTCTATCTTTCATCATTCATTCTCAATCCTTCATTCTCTATCATGTATCCTCCATCCACACCAGTGGTGTTGCCTGGGGGCTGAGGGAGTCGGGAAAGCCTGGAAGCCTAAAAATGAAAGAGGAGAGCTGCGAAGAGGCAAAAGCGGTAAAAACTATCACAGTATCACTGAAGGGCGTGCCTCTCCAACTTCCATAAACCAATACAAACATAAAATAGCTTAAGCCAAACATAGCACACACACACACACACACATACAATTAATTTTTTACAGCAAATAAATATCCCAACCCAAATTCTGACACCCGACCCAAAAACCTGTCAATTCAAATTTATTACGTTCAAAGATTAGAGGGAAATGGCGAACCGAGATGACGTCACTGAAATTTGGCGAGTTGGGTATGGAATATAAACAAATCGAAACTCGTTATGTTATTGTGTATGAGGTGTGTTGAAAAGGGTAAATAGACGAACGTTTTAAACACATAAAAACAGTAGCATGGCATTTTTACAATGCCCTGTAACATTTTATATTGTATAGGCTGATTTGAACACATTTTACTTAAATTTGTATTTAATTAAAACCGTAAATTGGCGCATTTGTGTCACCTACCAGGCAACCAAGTGCTAGGCCAGGCCTACCTAGAAAGTCCACGCAAAATTATCCCAGGCACGTTTGTGTCTATACCTACCCACTGCTTCGTTGGTAACTGGATAATTAGTGTTCGTTTTATTTTTTGGACCCAAGTATAGTCCATTATTATGGTATTATAATAGGTTTACAGTTACATTTTACAATAGTATTAACAAAGTGTAATTGTCTAGCTTGATTACTGTAGGCCCCTACTGTACTGTTAGTGTTGGCCTACTGGTTGTAGCCTACTGGTTGTAGCCTAATGGTTGTAGCCTACTGGTTGTAGCCTACTGGTTGTAGCTTACTGGTTGTAGCCTACTGTAGGCTAGCTAGACGTGGCAGCTTGGGCTGGTCTAACAATTGCAGTTGATTTTGGTTAAGTCTATTTTACTTTTACACAACTTTGTTAAAGCTTTATTTTTCCTCCGTCGCCATAGGCATATCGGCAATCACCCCACCGTGTACGTATTTCTCTTTAAAGAAAGTCCACGATTTCCCATCCTTCTCTTTTACTCCTTTAGATATGCAATCGCTCATAGTGAGCGGAGTAAATTTTGGAATATCTACTAGTGATTTTTTAAAGTTTAAGTACCGTTTGAAATTACAAATACAGCAAGAATCATGGGTATCACAACAAAAACATTGAGAAGCGGCCATGATTGCTATGTATAAAGATAGGAAATTAGCACCCTCAACGGTTTATTATGATTTTATATCCAATAAGATTGTCGACGTCTGTTCGCCATTTCCCTGTATTATTAGAACGCAAGTTAGCAGAACAGCAACCAGGATCCCTTCTCGAGCTACACTCTTATCTAGAAAAGGAAAAGGAAGCATTTTTTTTTTTTTTTAGTTTTAATTAACTTTATCAGTTTAGTGGCTTGCGTTTTGCCTGTTTGTCAGCCAAATGTGAACACAATTTTAGTTCAAGAAGACTAATTAAAAAAGATTTGCGTTCTACTATAACAAATGCTCGTTCGGATATCCTCATGATGCTTGGAATACCTTGACAGCGTGGTTGACAGATTTCAGGCAAAATTTCCAAAATATTAATAATAATAATAATATTTATTTATATAGGTGTAATTTTGCCCCACCTGACGTGGAAATGTACCGAATACTCAGTACATTTGAAAACAACTGCGAAAAAAATCGCAAGTTGTTCTCTGGTGGGACTCGAACTCACGATCTCCAGATCACTAGCCTGGCATCATACCTCTAGACCACCGAGCTTGCGCATGATGACAAGGGTTGAATTCGAGTCCAAGTAAGCAGCGGGTACTGCAGTGTTGATAGTAATTGTTATTGTCGTGATAGAATAATAGACAATAACTGGATTTGCGTCAGGAGAAACATGTATAGGTGTAATTTTGCCCTACCTGACGTGGAAATGTACCGAATACTCAATATTTATTTATACAGTATCATTTGCCAGAGAAGAAAATAGGCAATAGCCTGAACAAAACAATTTGCTCTCTTTCCTCTTTACTTACACTACATAAATATAAAACTTAACATACTGTCACACTGATAAAAAGAATCAAAAGGCAAAGGCCAAACATAAAGTCAGATAAAAAATGTAAGCAAATAATATAAACGGTTAATAAATAGTCAATACATTGATATGTAGTGCTTTTTGAGATGTAGAATTTTTGTGACGTTTCCAGTGACATGGTTTGTTTTTTTTTTTTATTTATTGTAGTATAATATCACAACTTGGTGACCTTTTTACAGTAAGGCATATTTCTTTCGTAATTGTGTTGTTGAAGGTACAGTATTGTATTGCAATATAGTGTTTTTTAATTAATATAAAATGAAAACAGATTTGCAAATAAATGATTTGGTTACATTGCATAATCTTTGTTTCTCGTGGTTTTTCAGTTTTGGAAGTCATATTACGGTAGTTTGAGGCCTGCCAAAATTTCTCTAATACCGTAGCTTCTACAGGGGACCCTAAGCGGCTCCCAAGTGACACTCGTTTCACTTGCCTAGCCCCTCATCAAAGCCTTTAGGCCCACCCCCGCCCACCTCAGGCAGATCCTGGCACCATCACTGATCCACACTTTATCTGTTTTCCTTCTAACATCAATGTATCCATTATCATCAATCAAGCCATTATCATCGATCCAGCTATCACAAGCATTGCCTTCTAACACCACACCGTCATCAACAACAATATCAATAAAGAATCAAAACTTAACATAGCTTGTTGATTGGTGTATAATAAATAAAAATATTTTTATTTAAAAAAATCGAGGTTTCTCTTAAATTCAACAAACCACATTTCATCTGACATCACAAGTCAACGACTTTTAGCTTTCGGCTTGATGATGTGTGCGTTCAGGGTTAGACATCAAATATTGCCACAACAAGTAAGTCCAAAATAATTTAATTGTTTACAATAACCAGCCTACCTGGTTGACTGACAACAATGGCTAACATTAAAGCTAAAAACCTGATTAACATTGCAATAAGAAAACAAAAAATAAAACTAGAAGAAAACTAGACCATAAAAGCAGACAAAAAATACTATACAACAATAGATAATTATAATGTAATGTATCATTACATAACATTGGTAAACTAGTATTTAGGAGCTGTTTTAAGTCCTGAGAAAACATATATCATGATTTGAACCTAAGACTTTAATATTTGAAGGTGAGGACATTGTACATCTACACTTAAATTTAAACTGGGGCTTTTAAACAAAGATCATACCTTCTCTGAACGAATCTTCTCGCAAATAAGATAGAACTTTTTCATAATCTCAAACAAGAATTCCTTTGACACCCCAACATCCTTCCACAAACGATCTGCTAATCGTTCTTGCAAGATTCCTTCTTTTTTCAGCCTCCTCCATGAATCCTTATAGTCTGCATGCTAACAATAATTATACAGTAATTGTAAAAACATGTTTAATTTGTAGTGATTAGTAATGATGGCAAAATTAAACATATACATTTTTCCGAATTGCCATGCAGTCTACTGTTGGAAACACCACACCACAACCCTTGTTTAGTTGCTGCTTATGTAAATTAAAGCATGGTCTTTTCATTTCATTATATGCATAAAAAAGCCCTAGATTTATAACCCTAAAAAAGGTTTTTTCTTTTTTGTTTTTTTTAAATCTATGCTTAAAAATAGTCACCTTCTGAAGAACGTTATTTCTTTTTTGTCTACTTATTAAATACATTTGTTAATTGATAGAATTGCATTTCAATTCTACATCACATGTCTGCCCATCATCATGAGAGAGCAGCTTAGCTCAGTCGGCCAATCTGGTGGTTGCATGTGTGTGCGCTGAACCGTCGAGATCTCTAGGTCACCGGTTCAATTCCCATCGCTGCCTCTCCTTGTACTTCAGCTGGAGGGCTGAAATACAAGTTATAATAGAGCACCACCTTTCGGATGAGACGCTTAAAGCGTTGGTCCCGTGTGCATTTATGGCCCTTGTGCACTTTAAAGAATGCAGTACACTCTTCGGAAAAGAGTTGGGGAATGTCTCCCGGTGTACTGCCCAATCACCACCAGGAGGACTCCACTGGAAATAAGTCTTCTATACTTTCGTGTGCGATCCTTGGTGTTTACACCGAATAAATCCAATATTTCAATTTCATCAGTGGCGTAGCTAGTGGGGGAGGGGTCAAGGGGCACGTGCCCCGGGCGCCAGGTTTTGAGGTGGAGGCGCTGAAATGGGAGAATGAGTAAAAAATAACGAAAAAATAGAAAAGCATGACGAAATTGATTTATGTATGTTATATATTTTTCAGTTAATAATTATGAGAATATGAATGTAGTTGATTTTATTGGCAAATTTATAGATTGTGATTTTTTTTTTTCAATCCATTTCAACCATTTTCTCTTTTTTTTTATCCTATTCTATAATGACTACATGATTAAAGCTCATCCTGCAATATCTCAGAGCCACGATAGGACTAGTGAGACTATCTGCTTTGGCACTGTGAAGCTATGAAGCAGACAACATTTCTAACTTTGATCATGTTATTAACTTCCTTGCAGATGCAAAAGCACGCAAAATTCAGTTGCAAGTTACAAACAATGTTACAAATTCAGCAAATTACAAGAAAATATGAATACTAAGTTGCACGCGATAAATACAACAGCCATACAAATTAGTATGATGGTAAAGTTCCGAACATGTCCTGCAGAGTAGTAGGGAAAGGAGGGGGTGGTTCTGGGCCACATCACCCAAACGCCCTCTAAATGGTCAATTAAACACCTAATTTGCATATTGATGACCTCACATGACCTTACAACTAATTTGACCTAACATGACCTCTGATGATATCACACCTAATTTGCATATTGATGACCTCACATGACCACACACCTAATTTACATATTGATGACCTCATATGACCTCAGACCTAATTTGCATATTGATGACGTCATCAATTTAATTTACATATTTAACCTCACTTGACCCCACTTCCGGTTCTAGTTGACCTGTCATGATATATATATTTTATATCTAAAGATCATATAATATATAGAGTTATTTTCATTTTTACCTACTTATCGAGGGTAATGGTTCCTTCTATATTTGGTTTATAATTGAGTTCATGCGCATACGCATATTCAGTATTAGATTCTACATGGGTTGTGTGACTTTCATATTTTAAAACTTGTTTCAATCTAGCTTTTAATTCTTTACGTCTCTCAACATGATCTTCAGATAATGGTTTTTCCCATTATTTTCACACAATCCTACATATCGAATAATACGTTCCTTGTTTTTTGATTTACCCATATTTTTTAGTTTCAGATATAATTTTTAAAACCTTCATTTAATTTTTTCGATAATGACCTATAGCTAATGTATGAATACCATCCTCAGTAATTATTCTCTTATCATCGTTTGCAGATAGAGCAACCTTATTAACCATCTCGCTATATAATTCATGTTTATGAGACCTGATAACATTCGTTGTTTATAGGTGGGTTTATGTTCACCCCATTCTTTATACTATTAATATAGTCTTAAAGACAATCTTTATAATCTCCGAACGTTATCTCATTTTTAACAACAGATTTTTTCATCCCCTTGCATTTCTTATCATCTTTTTTACTAAGCATTTTTAACGCGTACAATTTACTCCTTAGACCGATAAACCCTGTAATAATATGTCCACCAGCTTCATCCTTAAACATCCCGAGAACCTTTTTATTTACACCTGTAGGTATACCAGACGGATGACCTTTTCCGTAGTTTGAGGTATCGAATTTTTCCTTAACATCATCCGATATATCTTTGTAAAAGTCCTTAGTTTCAATTTCGTACATTAAGGAATCTGTGTCCGTCATTAACAATTTTGCTTTATCTCCATATTTTGGTTTTATGTAGTTGTAGTGAAAATTGTACATATGATTTTTACTTATATCTAATATAGAGAACTCTAGATATATGGGTTTATTGAATATTAAATTAGTTCTCTTTATATGAATCGCTACGAGGTTTTCATTAAATTTAGTTATGTGATCAAAGTTTGGTATTTTGGTATTTTGGTACCCTATTGCGAATATTTTCCATAGTCTTCCCAAACACAGAGTTATTCATTAGCTTAAAAAAATCTTTTTCAAACTCATTTTTTGCTTGAGATCTCATTTTGGTATTAAGATCTATGTATTTCATCATCCAAAGAGATGTAGGGGATTGACATGGTTATCCTTCAACTCGCAATTTTTACATTAACCGCAGGTAGTGATATCTTGATGGATAATTTTCCCATTTTTACCTATACTCCTCCCTAGAAATTTTAGGTAGATTACAAGTATCACATTTTCCACACTTGAATAAATTTACTAGTTTGTCTAGAGATGTTTGCATGAATCTAAGTGTATCTATGAATCTAGTTTCGTGTTTAATTTAATAATTGATGGATAATTTTCCCATTTTTACCTATACTCCTCCCTAGAAATTTTAGGTAGATTACAAGTATCACATTTTCCACACTTGAATAAATTTACTAGTTTGTCTAGAGATGTTTGCATGAATCTAAGTGTATCTATGAATCTAGTTTCGTGTTTAATTTCCTTTTCCTTACCTTCTTTATCGGTAAATCTATCAATTACATACCTTGAAGAAACCAAAATGTATTTTTCTTCATTTTTAGGGATGATGTCAATATCACCATCACGATTAGCAAGATCCGTGATAAAATGATGGATGTCGTAACCGCATAGATTGTGAAAGTATATAGGAGTAAACTTTAGTTTTCGATTTTTCAAGTTACACGAATTATGCGCGGCACCTCTAAAATCACCTGTATAATGGTTGTGATCTAGAAACTAAATATCTTCCGGATCATCAAATTTTCCAGCACACAACCAGTATATATTAGAATTCTCATATCTTTCTATATCCTCATCAGTCATTATCATCTTTTTATGAAACTTGTATTTTTCGTGGAATCTCTTAATAACATCATCGCATGCTTCAATAAACTTTCGGGAGACGTCATCATCTTCCGATTCGGCTGTTATTACAATAGGTTCACAATCAAAATCTATACCCTCAGCAACTATTGGATATAAACAGAATCCTTATGGTTTATGTTTTTGAAACTTTTTCGTAGTTTCATCGCAAGCTATAGGCATAGCGAAAGCTTCGCAATCGGCAACTATATTAAGAGGGTGATCGGACATCTTGTACAAGTTTAGAAACTTAAGATATTATCTTTCAGTGGAAGGGTTAATACCGGTTTATTCTTACTGCAATATTCTAAATGTTTAATTAAACACTTTTCCTTATGGAAAGTACATAAATATCTCTTACAGTGGAATCTTTTAACCTTTTTCTTCGTTATCTGACTGGTTGTCAATCGTGAAAAGTCTTTAACCAAACAATAATGTTTATTATCCTTTTTATTTATTAATAACAAATCAACGACATTTTCATTATCCGGAATTCTTAATGGGACTACGTATAACTTCAATATATCTTTCCCATTAATGTTTTCAAACTTGTATTCATATCCATACACGTTAACATAAATTCCAGGGTTAGTCTTTTCAAACCGTTTAATCTGATTCAAAGGGGTTGGAAAATCGATTCCGTCCTAGTTAAAATCTTCCGCTTGTTTTCGTAATTCATTCGTAATACGTTCAGGATGGTTATTTGTAGGATTATTAAATGTCTCGTTATGCTCCAATTGCAACATTCGTTATCCTTATTTTTCATATTTATTATAGCTTTTTTTAACAGCCAATTGTTTAGGGAGTTCAACGTACGATGACTCTTCTAACGGAATATGTTTTACAATTCTAATAGTCATCCCCATCACCTTTTTAAATATCCAACCGAAATGTTGTTGCTGATGATTAGCGAAATTTTCTTCTATCCGATCAGACATTTCACTATTATATACATCTTCAAGATTAGTCCCCTCGTAAATTTCATGAAACTTAGAGTGAAAGTCCGATAATGATGTTTATACATTAAAAGTTTTTGAATCGATAACCCGTTCTAGCATTACATTGACGGAGACTTTCATTTTTGTATTTTTGTTTTTCTTAAAGATGTCTAAAACATGACTCTTTTGTATATTCAGATAGGTAGAAAGATCAACCCTAGACGGCCCGCGAATTTTAACATCTTGCATAAATCCGTTCAAGGGCCCATCCGTAACAACGCCATCCTCCAATTCCTTCCTTATTCAACTCTGTCTTATCCTTTCTCCCCGTCTAAGTCTTCTAGTCATAATCTCATCTTCTATCTAATCTACGTCGCTCCGTAGCCAATTGTTTTTCCATCATTCGTTTAGTAGACGGCTTTCTCTTCTCTTCTCTCTAATTTTATTTTCTCTAGCCTTGTTTTTCTTGGACCTTTCGTTAATGTGTTTATTTATTAATTCTTCCTT